ATTGAAAATTGAAAATATTCAAATAGCCAAAAATCAACTGTTTAAAAATTTCACATTTCATGCCCAACAGCAACAACAGTAACAACAACCCTTTGATTATTTACGTCATAATCGTATAAATAATTAAAAATTTGTTATTGAAAATTATTGAGAGACGGACAATTTGTATGTGCACACTCGAACACTCGCTTGCACACACTAGTGTACATACATATGTATGTATTTAGATATGTACATATCCATATATACAGACGATCCATAATCATTTTTAGCATTTTTACACAAAAACACACTTTAATAAAACCAGATGCCTTTATATTTAGTACGTTGATATTTTCCATAAGAATACACACATACATATATGCACGAGCGTACATATTTTCGACAAATTCATGAAAATATGTAGTTGTACACGGGAGAAATACAATTAAATTCGGACAGTAGTCAAAGCACACCACACAAAAATAATAAAATCAAAAGCATACTTTTCTACAAATTTTTGTTTATTTATGCATACATACACACATACTTACATGTATATTATATTGACATGATTGGCAATGAGTTGGGTGATGTTTAGGAAGGGTGGAATTTGCATTCGTACACTCCATACATAAATACCTACATACATATATTCAGTACCTTGTACGTTTAGTTGTTGTTGTTGTTGTGTGTTGCCGCTTGATGGCGATCGTAAAATGAAAATCAACAAATTTGTTAAGTAAAACGAAAATTCACACAAATTAAAAATCACAAGGCACTCAAGTAATTTTCCATAAACAAATTTGTGCCAGAAGATGCAGAAACGAGAAAAAAAAATTTTTTTAAAAATAAAACAAATAAGAATAATAACACAAATTTAGAAAATATAAAACAAAAGAAATATGTTTGATTGGAAAATCAAAAACTTATTTCATTTGTTTGTATGGCGCGATGAATTCTTGAATTAACACATTGGACTGTGATTCTGGTGAAGAATTTTATTAAATTAAAAGGAAAATGTGCACAGAAAAAAAAAATGATTTCGATGAACACATGTTTAAGTGCAGGAAATAATGCTGATAAAGATTCATTAAATACAACTTGGAATCAAATATTATTTTACATTGTCTTATTTTTATATTTTTTTTCAATTTTTGAACAAAATTCACAATTTTTTTGTTTTATGCATTTCATTTAATTTTACTAACCCTATTTTAATTTGCTTTATTATTTCCCCTTTTTGATGTTTTTAACATTCATTCTCTTATTAAGTTTACTAGATTTTATTCCATTTGACTTTTCATTTTATATTTTGGACTTTATTTTATTTTACTAAAATTTTATTTGCTCATTTTAATTTACAGTGTTTTTAGTTTAATTTTTTATATTTTTGTTTAACATAAAATAAAATTAAATCAATGGAAATAAAACAAAATAATTTATTATTGACATAATTAAAGTCAGTAATAATGTTATTTGGCGACCGCGGTAGGCGAGCGGTTAACATTGCGTACTGCCATTCGGAAGGCCGGGTTCAAATCCTGGTACGACCAACATGAAAAATTTATTGAAATTAATTTAAATAATAAATTGAGTAAAATTTTATAATTGCGGTCGCTCGTCGGCAGGGAATGTGGGCCCCTCTGATTGTATTTCTGGCGCCTCATAAAAAACCATCAGCCTTTCGGACGTGGCTTAGTATAATTTTGTTCCATTTGTTGCAAAAACATCAAGAACACAAATTGGAGGAGGAGCTCGGCGGAAAATCGCTTCAGCGGTTACAAAGCGCCAATTATATATATATTAATATTTATTAATTTTTTTGTTATTTTATTTTATTTTAATTGTTATTTTATTATACCTTATGCTATTTTATTTTATTTCATTATGATATAGATTACTTCTTTTTTCGATATTTTTTTAAATTTTATTTTAGGTAAATTAATATCAATTTATTTATTTTGTTTTGTAAAATTTTATTTTTATTTAAATTTAATTTTTTTGCTCTTTAAATTAATTTACTTAAACTTAATGTAAATTATATTATTCTATATTTTATTTACTATTGCCATATATTATATCATTCTTTTTTTTCTTTTGATAACTTTGATTTTAATTGAACATGTTATTTATATAATAAGAATTGTGAGCTTCACTCAACCGAGCGCCCAAAGGTAAAAGCAGAACGAAGCAGAAAGAAAAATCACTTATACGCCATGTTGGCCACGTAAAGCCCAAGCAATTGCTAGTTACAACAAAAATAAAACCAATCGCCATGACAACAGCACCAGTCAGCAAGAAAATTACGAAGATAAAAAGCGTATTTAAGAAGTTTAAAATAACCACAATAACAACATAATGAAGGCAGGCAGTGAATTGAGCCTCCGGCTGCTCAAAGAACACACCATTGCCCTTTAGCTACATCAGTTGAATTGAACCAAAAGCCCGTAAGTGATTGGATTGGCTGTCCAGCAGTTATTAACCGCACGGAGTATGGTGTTTGTAGAAAAAACCAAATAAAAATGTGAAAGCAAAGCGACAACAACAACAGCATTGAAAGAGTGTCTGATGCTTAATTTAAGATTTCTGCCAAGTGCAGAAGATCGAGCAGAGCTTTGTGAGTACTTTGAAAACATATGTGTGTATGCACATATACATGCACATACAAAAACACCTATACAAATATACAACAGAGAATATAAAGTCCAGTTGTCGTAAGTAAAAGCAGTTTGCAGCAAATGTATATACATAAGCTTGTGCGTATATATATTTCTATAAAAAAAAAATACGTTCCATATGTGGAGGTATATAAATTCATTTACGTATTTCTATAGCTGAATAGCTGCAGTTGACTCATCAAATAGGCTGCTGAATGATTATGCCGCAGCTTTGGCCGTTTCGCCGTTGGCGGTTGCGGGTGGTGATTTTCGAATTAAATGATTTCAATGCAACGTGCACATATGTAAAAATTATATGTGCATTCATATAAGTGCATGGCGAAACAGAAAGACGCACAGATTCTCGGAATAATTTTTAATTTTTAAATTAAGTATACATTAAAACAATAACAACATACAATAGTAATGTTAGTGGCAATATTATGAAGAGTCGATGTACATACAAATATACTTAATAACTCTACACATTTGCCGTATTCATTCGATTGTTTCCATATACGCGGGTACTAACAAAAGTTCGGTCAGTTGGTGGCTTTCAATTTGTTTTTGTTAAATCCAAAAACAACAAATACGTTGCACTTACTCTATTAGTTGTATCTACGAATTTTTGAGCGTTCAGCTGAAATGGAGACGAGAAAACTCAATATATCTGAGGATAGATCAGACGAAATTCCACAACCAACGAAAACAGAAATTCCCCATTAGGGATTCTCTTTGGGATTCGGCGTAATTTATAGCCAATAATTATATAAAGGGAATGCTAAAATGTAAGTAGTTCTGAAGATTCTAAGATTCAAGGAAATTATTTTTAATGAATTGCGCTTGAATGTCATGGCTGTATCGCGAGTGCATTTTGCTAAATTTTTCCCAAACTAATTTGAAAGCGGTCAGACTAGCTACTTAAGTAAAGTAGTTAGTGGTGAGGAATCGTGATTCGGATTAAACGATGACTGTAAAATATCATACTGAAGAGTGCTTACCAACAATATTTGCAAATCTTTTTGGAAAAAAGAAAGATTGAGAATTTTGGCATTACATCACCACAATGCACTATCCCAAGCGATATGTAGCAAACTAAAACAAAAAAATTTTTTAAAACAAATAAAATAAAATAAAATAAAATAAAATAAAATAAAATAAAATAAAATAAAATAAAATAAAATAAAATAAAATAAAATAAAATAAAATTAAATAAAATAAAATTAAATTAAATTAAATTAAATTAGACTTAATTCAATAAAATAAAATAAAATGAAATAAAAAAAAAATAAAATAAACTAAAATAAATAACAATAAATAAGAGAAAAAAGTAAATTAAATTAAATTAAATATTACAAAATGAGTTAAAAAAAATAAAGTTAAATAAAATGAAATAAAATAAAATGAAATCAAACTAAATAAAATAAAATAAAAAAAATAAAAGAAAACAAAAAAAAATTAATAATATAACTAAAAAAAAATAAATTAAAAAATTAATAAATAAATTATAGTATAATAAATCGAAATAAAATAAAATTAGGTAAAATAAAATAAAAAAATAAATAAAAAATAAAATAAAAACAAGAAAATAAAACGAAAAAATGAATAAAATTTATTTAAGAAATTGACATATGAAAAAATAAATAAAAATTTACTGAGCTTAAATAAATTAAAATAAAAACAAAGACCTTGCAGTAGTTTATCTGCGTTTCAGCGCCATTAGCTAAGCTCAAAATTCACTTTTACATGTAAATATTCAACTGACCTGAGCTCATCTTAACGCTATAGAAATCTCATTCATCACAAAATAATTAGAAAAATATTAACATGACAAATGGATTCAATGAAAGAGGAAGTTGAGTACACAAATGGAGGTCATAAAAATTATACAATGACGCTTTCCGCAATAAACGCCTATGTGTAGTAAGCAAACAATACACAACATTAGGGTGAAGCAAATAATGACACAAATAAATTATATATATTAAAAACAACAGTCAATCGTCATGTCGTGTGTATATATATGTATGTAATTTTTTTTTTAATTAATTTTTTTTTTACAAAAATATTTTTCGTCTTCGCTAAATCAAAGTTGTATTCAGACAATTACAGACTGACTTCTACGTTCGTTGTATTATATATATATATGTATTTATTTACTCTTATTGTGCTCTGTTACTTTGTTGCATTGAAGATCACTTGCGACCCGTCCGTATTGTTCGCTTAATCATTTTGTCCGTTCAACTGCCCGTCCGTTGCTCACTCTCACATTCATTCATTCACTTACTCGCTCATTGATGGAATGTGATGTAAAGTGATGTGTTGCGTTTCGCTGAATATCTACAGTCTGCTTGCACTCACCTCCATCTCATCTCCTCATCACCCATTTGTGATTTTGCGCTGACTGACTTGACGGTTAAAGCACATTTTGTTCGCTGTCATTTTCAATTCCAAGTGCGGGTGTTAGATTTAAGTCGCTGCGCGGTCTGTGGAAGTGTGTGACGAAATGCCACTACTGTGTGATCGTTTGACCGCGCCTGAAAAATAATTAAAAAAATCTTTTTTTTTATATATTGTATTATATTGTACTTGTATGTGCGTAAGTTTATGCGCGTACATTGTAAGTATTTAAGCATTTAAATATATGTATGAGCGTATTTTTTTCTCGCTGTTTATGCAGTCTGTCTCCGTCAATCGGTGTGTCGATATGTCGATTTTGCTTTTGATTTTTCTTCTCCTGTTTTTCTGCCTTCTTATTATTTGCCATAGACTTATTTTTGTGTTTATATTTTTTTTATTAATTCAATTTTATTTTTCTTAGCTTTTTTTTAAATAAAATTTTTCTTCTTTGCCTTTTAAATATTTCTTAATTTTTATCGATTTTTCTTCTTTTACTTTTTTTATTTGTACTTTTTGATATTTTTATTTTTAATTTTTTATTTATTTTTTTTTTTTGTTGTAATTGAATTTCAACGTAACGCAGTGCCACACATACATACAATGCAGCCAAATAACCTCAAACTCAGCGCAACTCAACTCAACCTAACTGGATGTATGTGAATTCAACTTGAATATGATTCGCGGGTATTTGCGTATTGGGATCAGGGCCTCATCAATTAGTAAATTAATTTTTTATTACACACGTTTGTATATATCGGCCGCTGCCTGCCTTCGCTTTATCCGTTCAACAATTTTATTTGTTACTTTTGTACTTAGTCTCGTGCGTGTTTATTGTTTTTATTATTTTTATTATTTCTATTGTATATTTCATGGTGCTGTACTCGATGTATTTGGTTTCAAAGTTTTTGAATTTTTCTCTTCATGAATTTTTGTAATATCGACTGTGCATTTGTCGATGGTTTTGAGTGAAAATCAATAAAAACAAAAATACTTACACTTATTGACCATTTTTATTTATTAAAGAGAAGGAGGTAGAGTTCGTAGAGAAGGCAGGACAGCATAAAAAAAGTCGGGATTTTAAGAACTTTTCTACTCTGTTGTAGTTCCTGTAAAAAGTAAACCATTATTTCATGTGGAAGGTCAATTGTCGAAGATGTCGATAAAATAAAGACAATCGTGGCCCCTTACGTTCAAGCGACCACCGCTTTGATTCCCGAGGAAAAACTTTTTCCAAGAAAATATATTTAGAATTACTTTCAAAAAGCGGATACACAGTGAAGCTCGATATATAATTGCCTAATGCCCTGAATCGCCATCTACGAATCGCTGCTGAATCGTAAGAAATCAGCCAATTTCTGAAGCGAATAGTGACTGGTTTTGATTAGTGGATCTCTTATAGCAACGTATAACGCAAACGGTCCTGATTAAAGGACAGTGGGCCGACACAAACCGTCTCCAAGCCAGAATTGGCGGAAAGAAAGTTTTGTTTTGTATTTCGTGGAATTGGCAAGGAATAACCATCTATGAGCTGCTCCCTTATAGTAAAACTCGTAATTATGACTTGTACTTGTCAGCAATTGGACTGTTTGAAAGAAACAATCGCCCAGAAGCGTCCAGCTTTGAGCAATTGGACAAGAATTATGATTCATCATGACAATGACAGAGCCCACACACAGATAATGACTCGCCAAAAGCTACGATAGCTTGGTTGGAAGGTTTTGAGGCATCCACCTTGAAGTCAGGAAGACGCCTGAGTCATTTCCATGTGTCTCTCTCAATGACCACTGATTTGGCTGGTGAAGAATTGGTCTCATGATAAGTCTCTGTAAATCGATTGTCTCAATTCTTTGCCATTAGGGTAAAAGGTTACTTTAGGAAAGCTGTGACGACATCTGACGACGTGCTGACATTTGATATATGTACACTAGTAGGAAACCATCAAATTTCCAACAACAACTTTTAAGGTATGATGGCTATATTTTTGTAAGGTGCAGTGGGGATTTTTTTCTTTGCGCATATTTCAATTTTCAATGTATTTTTTGTGCACAAGAGTGTATATTATAGGAAATTAATATATTCTGTCACATTTTTATTGATTTTCTCCTATTTTTTGACGTGTTGATACTATCACATAAAGCAAGAGTGACTACGACCAATTGTAGGAGGCAATCAAAATGGTAAACGGAATTCCGAGAACCACATTGAGATGCTACATTGATAAAATCGACAATTGACAGCTGCGCTAGAGGAAGTAATCACTTCTGAGTCATATCTGTGATGCCCAGTACAACGCGCTCGAGCAGCATGTTGCGCCTACCCAATCATACAACATCTCTACATGATGCTTGGAAATCGGTTGGACCGCTGAAGTTGGCAACACCAGCTAAATATCTAAATCAAACCAAATGAAGTCCACCGTTTTGAAATCGCGTAAGAACCTGTACGCAACACGAATATGAAGCTGATCTCAAAAAATTTAACAACCAAAAAAAAAACACTCAGAGAGAAGCAAACTCCAGCCGAAAAGAGAAAAGGGCGATGAAAAGAATACAATCGATAAAAACGTCAATAAAAACGGCAGACGTAAATGAAACAGTCGAAGTTGTTTATCGAGATTTTTGTATTCTCTGCCCGAGACAAATGTCTCTTGTGCCGAACCGCAACTAATTAGGATTATGTGATACTTGCGGAGAGGAAGTTCATGCCAGCAACTTCTCATATCTAAATTGCAACTCCTACTAAAATGGGTTTTTATTTTTGAATTTTATAACCAACAATTTTTTCTCTTTGTGTCATTTTCCACCATTACCAGTAGTTTAAATAAATGATTTTCGAATCTGCGTGATATTTCAGTTGAATGACACAGTTTTCAAAAAAGAAATCTACGTTTTGGGCCAGCAAATTTTTCCACTCACTTTTGACATCAATCAATATCAGCAACTGATTATTTTTTAAATTTTGAAAAACATAGATTTCTGAGAGAGGAAGATGCAAAGACCGAAGCGTACCCCACCACACCTTACATTCTTCCACTTAATAAGAATCTGAAAAAGAAGTTAAAACAACCAAAGAGTGGTGAGTAAGAAGTCATTGATTTTCCATAAAACCACAATGTATTAGATTTGCATACATCGATATATCCACATATGCCAGTTAATATATTTACATACTTATGCGTATTTGTTTGTCGGCATGTACATGTGTGTACATACACATACATACATAATTATGTGCGTAGTTTTTAGTGCATTAAAAGTCAATTCGACGACAAATCGATGTCAATAAACCCACGCGCTTATAGACCCAATCATTGCACAAACAAGACAAACACACAAACATACGCGTACATATGTATGTACACATAACTGCGTACATATACATATTATATGCAAACATGAGCATGCAATGCTTGTAAAACTTTGACTTCTCGATCGTAAAAATCGAAATGTAACTTTGTTATAAGAGCAGACAGCAGCAGTAACAACAACAACAACTACAACAACTAAGAAATGTTGTACTTTTCAGAACACCCAAAGGCAGTTAAGTGTGTGACGAAGACATGCATTTATGTAACGACATCTACATTTTTACACACATATGCAATCATATGTATTAATGTACTTATATATGTACGATTATGTACATATGTATGCCAGTTTATATTGGTCGCTTACATACTTCCTTGTTAAATTGTATTACAATGTCTGCAGGCGTTGGCTTTTGCATTTTGTCTACATGCTTACATACAGACATATATACATATGTATATATCTGTATATATATATATATATATATATATATATCTGAGTATGTTCTTACGATTACAACTAGTTAAGTGGCTCTTGAGTACTTCCTTAGCGTGTACGCATTACTTGATCGCGAACCATAAATTGCACATTTTATTTGGCATTCGGATTGATTGTATGTGTATTTATGTACGTACATGTGTAATTTTGGTGTTTTCATGTTAACAAATGCAATGACATACACATTGTTGAGCGTACAAAATAATTATTACTTAAGGTTTAACCTAAGCAACCTGTTAAATAGAAATCATACGCGTACGAGACATACATATATATTCGTATGAAAATCTGATGAAATTTATATGCATAAAGCTACATATATAAATATATGTACATACATCAGTAAATATTTAGTCGCAAGTGAGTTATATATGTATGTAAAAATTCAGCAAGCTACTCAGTTATCACCCGATCGAAAGGCAGGGTACCAAGTGCAAGATGTTGTGATCAATGGAACTCTTCGAGATTCTAACATCGACTCGGATCACTATACCTTGCTGGCGAAGAACGTCAACAAGTACAAGGAAGGTTTAGCGTGTTAAAGCTGAAAACGCTCAATTTGGGATTTTAACCGACTGGCACTCCTGGTTTCTGAGGACACTCATCAGCAACTCGGTGCAAAGGAATTGTGGAACGCCATCTCAAGATTCAAACGAGGGTTCCAGTAGGATGGCCGGGTCGCGGGGAGGGAAAACTGGCTACCTACCGCGAAACGTAAAATATTCCGAGAGTGTTTAAGAAGGAGACGAGACGCAGTTGTATACAGAAAGAAAAAAAGAACGAAATGTATGAGTATGCAGAGCTTGAAAAGCTAGCGGATAGCGGTAACGCTCGTGAATTCTATAAAAGAAAGCGAAGTTTTACGTTAGGTCTCTAGCCGGAGCATAGCTTTGTCCAAACATGAAAGATGATCTGATGAGAAATGCTGAATTTACCCCCCATGGACGACGATGACGGTTAGCGATTGCCCGCTTGAAGACTAACAAAGCCTCGGGTGTCAATAGAGTAGCGTCGGGCTATTCGAACAAAGCAGGGCACAGTTGAACAAAGGCGACATGGGTTCTGATTTCTCTAGACTTGAGAAAAGAGGGAAGGGGATGTACCTACTTATGAGCGAGGCAAACATGAAATATTTCCTACCATCAAACATGCAGACGGATCATTCATGTCTTGGCGCTCTTTCACTATTGCCGGTCATAGTTTGGAAGTCGTAGATGACTGGCTAA